TAAAGTGGGAAATTACAGCGCATAAATCTCTGTCGCCGAACTGTCAGTGCCGGCGACTGGGAATATGGGAATAGTTATGGGTTGACGAGGGGTCTCCAAAGAGGGGGCCTCTAAGCGGGGCTCGAAAGGCGGAGAAGTCATGCAACAGGCGGTGGATGGAGCCAACACCCACGCAAGTCGAGCTCGTCTTGAATGAAATTAGCCCGTAACTAGAGTTTACAGTTTAGCAGCTACTGACGATCGCAGTTGGCTCAGTTGCATACCAAGTGTTCGGCGTCTTAGCCACACACATAGTGAGTTGGCCAAGACTGATTGGGCATTCCGGCGTTGTACTACTCGATCGGCGCTTCATTGCCCATATAATGCTAATAATTATTGCATTTAAAATCTAATAAATTTTTGCATTGACAACGCGGAGTTCGCTGAAGTCGTGAGGTGGGGGCATGAAAACCATTCCCAGCCGCTCCTATTTTAATGGTGTAGATATCCATCAAAGCATGGTCAAGTGATGAGGAAGACGCCTAACAACTAGTTGGATACTTATTAAGATTAATGATATACTGTTCTGGCTTTTTATTTTTATTTTATTAGTTTTTTGTGAAATATCATTGATGTTCTTTCTAGGCAAAATACAATGATATTTATATTTAAAATATTTCAAATTTAAGATGGTTTTTAGTATCTATAGACCTAAATATAATATTTTTTGTTTCTCTATTTCAGGTTAAAACTTTATAACAAGTAATGATCACTTCCATCTCTTTCATTTTACTGATCATCAATTTATTGTTTACCTCCTGATAGGAGGGTACTGATTCTTCTTTGCTTACACTGCTGGTCTTTTGAATTCTTCTGCGGTCTCTTCTGGCGCTCGTCTCTAGTGGATCGCTTTCGAAGCTTTTGACCATAATTGTGGTACTTGTCATTGTTTGTGTCGCATTGCCAACTTTTAAGTACAGACTGCCCCGTGCGTGTTAAATACATGTAATTAGCCATGTTTGTGCCATTTAATCCACTCGATTGTGGACTTCTCCTTCTACCGACTCCTGGTTTTTTTTCGTTCAGAACCCGCTTAGTCGCGCGGCGACGCTTTTCTAAGAATTCTTTTACGTTTTGTTTTGGCGCACGCATTAGGCGCCACACAGCGGCAGCACGTTTAACCCGCAGGACAGGCGGAAGGGTTAAGCGGACACTGGGCACTGCGCACTGGGCATTGGGGGGTTAACGGGGGAGCAATCTCGGGAACTGTGGCGCATACTCCACATATTTATGGCTATTTAAGCGAACCGAACGAATCGTGGATGCCGATGACGATGACGAACTTGCTGCAGTTGCTGCCGTTCTGTTGCATGTTGCACTTTTGGATCTTTGCTCCTGCACAGACGAGGTCGGATAAATAGTACCAGAGTACAGCTAACTAAAGTTGAGCTACACCTACTATTCAGAAACATAATGATTTTGGGTTATGTGATCCAATAAGCTTTTCTAACCTTAATTAACTTTAACTTTATTATCAGTTCGAAATACTGCTTAGATATATTATATGGTGTTGTCTTTATACCTATGGGTTCATCTATCTACAGACAGAAAATAGTTATACCATTGAATTTGAATTAAATAGCTTTGAAGTTATCACTTATTGGTACCATAATTTTTGATAAGTAACCTGTAAACTATATTTTAGCTTTCATAATATTTTTCTTTAATTAATTTATGAGAAGGATCATCATTTTTTGACCATTACTGTGTGTATTGCTCCTTGTTCCTGCCACTGCTGCTGTGGTCCGGCAGTCATTGGCATTGATTGGCAGTTGAACACGCAACAATTGTTGCATGTTTAGGCGTCGGCAGTGACGGTGAGACGACAAGAACACAACAAAGCAACAACACTGGGGCACAGGAGCAAACATCACAACAAAGTTGAGGACTTCAACTTCTGGCAGTTCACTTTTGTCACATTGTGATATTTAGCGATTACCTTGTGCGCGGTTTAATTGGCTAGCGAGTTGGCATCAAAATTTGTCAAGTTCTATTAGAAGACAGAGGCATTGTACTTACCTTTTAGTAACGAAGTTATACAAATTTACTTTTTTTTTAATATAGGTTTTTTATATATTAAAATACTGTCATGATATATGTAAAACGCGTTGCATTTTGATTGAACACGTTTTAAAAATGTGTTTAAAGTGGTATACCTCAGAAGAATGTCCTTTCCATACTTAGATTAATAGACAATCTGATAGAACTAAAGTCCATTTAGGTTCTTATCTATGTTTAATTTACATTGTGTATAAATAATGTTCAAAATATTATTATAAATATTAAGAATCCTTTTTGGCGCTATTGTAACTGGGAACATTTCCCCTAAAAGTGGACTCGACCACCCACCACCGACTTCGGTTTCCAGAAAAGCGGTGGTGTCTCCGTGTTGACAGCTCAATTACTCACATGACAAAGCCTCTGCGTGGCCCTCTGCAATTATCGCGGCAATTATTTGCAATTAGAATTGAGTTAATTTACTTTAAAAAAGGATTTTCTCCTGTGCCTGCGCATTTTTGTCCCTTGACGTTTGCACTTTGGCACGTGAATTGAAGGGTTTCTCATGTGTGTTTGTGCAATTTGCGTGCATAAATTTTTATTGTTTCAGACGGACTACATAATTATGGCGTACGGAGGGTTTTGTTATGTTCGCAGTTTTCACTTCTGTTTTCGAGGGGAGTGCGCTTCATTACTATTTTCGATTTTACTGCGACTGTGTAATGTTACCCATGTTGGCAATAAGTTCGCGTTTAGTAGTGTTAAACACGCAATAAAAAAAGTGGGAGGAGCGATCGTCTACAAACATGCTCGCATTCTAAGCATATATACAGTTGGGGCTAGAAATATAGGGTTGATTAAATAATAAATTCAAATCATGACAATAACAATACTTATGTATTTATTAAAAGCACATAAACTACAAAAGACAATGTGGAATTAAGAAAAAATTGCATCCCTGTGAGCAAAGTTAAAAAACCGAAAATGTAAAAAAAATGTTGCCCTCGAATAGGGGTCAATAGGTCCAACTAGTTGTATTGATCATCAAAACAATAAACCGTTCAAACGATAATAGAATTTTTTTCATATTTTAAAGTCTTCCTAACTATAACTCAAACTTTTCAACGGTTGAATGTGGTACAAAGTTAAAAAGTTAAACTCTGTTAAACAATTTTTTTTTAACTACAATTTTTTTATGACCCTGTCTGTTCTGATGTTTGTATGTTTCCTGGTTGATTTGGCAACTCCACTTGCAATTTTCAGCACGCCCCATCAGCTGTTTGCCTGCTGTGGTCCCCCTTAAATAGTTGGCAGTGCATTCACGAAGAGGAATTCGTTTTGTTCTCGGTTATTTTCGTATCTCAAAACGCCCTACTAGAGGAGGGCTCCATCGAATTTCGAGTTCGATTTCACGCAAGTCCCACGCACGAAAAAATTCGTTGACGCTGCCTTCTCTTGATCGCCTCCCTTCACAGGCCCCATTTCCCCATTTTCCTCCTCTTTTCCTGCCTTCACTTGCTGTTGTGGTTGCGGTGGGGTGTTTACAGTTTGATTGTGATTGTGGGTTGACGCCACCTCCACCACCAAAGGCCAATGCACCGGGAATAAAAGTGTAGGATTTTTCTTAACCATAAAAAAATATTAATATATTATTATTCATATAAAATATTTATAATATTTTAATATATTAATATTCTGTAAAATTGCATTACCAGTTTTAGAATACTTAGTTTAAAGAGAACCCTGAATTCGAAATACGATCCAAAACGTTTGTATTTAAGAAAGTTCTGTAAGTTATTTTCCAGTTCACTCTGTTGCTCGAACTGTATAGTGGTTAAAAACCTTTAGCTTCATCCTAAATGGAAATTTTGCTGATTATACTTATTAAATGAACTCATAATTTTCTCCCTGTGTGGTACTTTTTCACACAAACACGTTTGCGTTCACGTGCAGGCGCCCCAACTGCAGATAGGGCATTTTGATTTGTTTAAAACAAAACTTTTGATGCCTGAGTAGTGGTGTGCACTTGGCCGCCTGTGCACACACTGAAACTCAATTACAAATACGAATACGTCACTCAACGGTCTTTAAAAATCAGGGCTGCGGAATAGGTGGCGTAAAAATAAAAGGAACTAAAAGGAAACTAGAACCTCTAAAATCCCTAATATACATTATTTTTGTAAATCCATAAAGTATTTATAAAAAAATTTTTTATGAGCCGAGATTTTTTGTATGACTTTATATAAGCTTAAACCTTAATATATATACAATTTTTAATTAATTTTTACTGGTTTTGTACATTTATAAAAGTGATATATAAATGTTTTGATTTTTTTTTTAATTTTGAACTCCTTCAAATGGGGTGTGTTAACCTACAGCTTATTAGCTTAATTTTTTTTATGAGAATTTTCTGAAGCTTAAACTTAAATATATTTACAATTTTAAATTAATTTTAACTGGCTTTGTACATTTATACAAGAGAGATCTATAAATGTTTTGGATTTTTTTTTAACTCCTTCAAATGGGGTGTCTTAACCTACAGCTCCTACAAGGCGGTCCTGCTGTTTTGCATCCCTGGCTTGCACACACAGATACAAAACACGAATGCAATGGGCTGCCTTCAGTTCGTCAGTCAGTCAGTTCAGTTCCTCACTCACTCAATCAGGCAGTCTGTCAGTCCGTCAGTCAGTCAGTCAGTCAACACCCGGTGGACTCAGTTTTCTGTGCAGGCAAAGCAACCCGTTCGGCATTCGTTGTCGATCGGTCGGGTCGTGCAGTTGATTTCTGAATTGGCGCTCGCTTTTCTCGTTCTCTGGGGATTTTGCGTAATTTGCGGCGAAAATAAAATAAATATTATGGCAAACAGCTTCGATAAATTAAGTTATTACTGAATTGAGGATGATTTTGGCAAATGAAGAGATAACAATTGAATTGATAATCGAAACGGAAATGTAACTGCAGCAAAGAGTCGATCCGATCGTCGTGGAGGGTCGCATTTGCATACGAGAATAACATTTTGATGCTGATTTTGATTTGTGCATTTGTGCATCGGTGTCGTCGCGCCAGTGCGTGTGTTAGTGTGTGCGTGCAATAAAAATAAATAAAATAATATCTGCTATCTCAACATCATCATGTGTACGTTTAGTAGTTCCCATTTCCCCCCCAGTCTTTTCAATTTTCCCTGCCCTCCTTGATTTTTGAGTTTTCCTCAAATCGAAACTTTTGATGGCCTGGCCGCCCGTTTGGTTCGGTTCTTTATCTCTGTTTTTGTGTGTGCATTGTTTGTTTATTTTTAAACATGGGTCCAAGTCCCTATTCTTCTCTCTCTCTGGTTTTTTTTCTGGTACTCGTACCCTTTACTACACTTTTTGCCCGCTTTCAATGGCAACGGAAGTGCTTCTGTACTTCTGTAGCTCGCTACTTGCCACATTTTCCCATCCACCTTTATTTCTTTTACCTGGCTCCCATGATTTACGCCTTATTGTCACTGCCGCATTTATGATTGATTATCGATTGGAATTATATGATACGCATGCGCGAATGCGTGCCTGCCATAAAAGTCCCTCAAAGTCCTTGGTCCAACGTTCCTCCATTTGAGTTATGATCGGCGAGTCCCTGATTATCGCAGCACTGAAAATAAAGCGGGGTTTATAGCTAAAAAACTTTGTGAAATAAATCAGTCAGATATTAAACTGGGTATTAACAACTCGAAGTGATCTGTATGGTAAATTTTGATTAGGGAACTTAATAAATCATAAGATAACTCAACAAAGCTCAAACTCAAATCAGAAAAAAAGAAACAAGTAAATCCTGGACAATTTTGAATTATTTTAAAAGGAGTAGTTTAGGAATTTCAGAACCTGATGGATCATTTTCTTTCGAGTGTTGATTTCTTGGAATATGAAAGAAGACTGGGCCAGATTTGGGTGGGGCAAAAGGAAAAAAGAAAAAGAAGGAAGGCAAAGGGAGGTGGATACGTGATCTGAGCTCTGGTAATATGTAATTGCGAATTACGATTATTGATCTTTAATTAATTGAGGGAATGTCCCCATGCGTGCAGAAACCATATGAAAATGGATCATAAAGGCCCATTAAATTGCATTAACTCTATTTACAATAGAACAAAAACGAAATGTCATATGGACCTCTAAATCAGTAATTATTCATAAAATGAAGTACAACAGGAATATTAACTATATTGTTATATTTACATATAAGGAATATTTGCTATGTTGATCCGAAATATTTGCAGTACTCTGAAAAGGGATTGTAGTTGTTGTTAAAATCTATGCAAATATTGTATTATTTTTTATAAATCCTGGGAGTTAATAGTTAAGTATCTTCTATTAAAAATTGTGTGATCATTTATGTGGAACCCCACTTTTTACACACTATTTGTCAATGCTTTGCACAAACAAGCCGGGGGCATTCTTAAAATTTGTATGCTTACCCCACAATCAATCGAATTCCACAAGACAGGCCAATCCACAAGACCACGATTGCCACCTAAAAACACACAAAACCACCGGTCAGCTGGACAAATACATGGGTTTCTCTATCGCCCGTAACCCTCTTGATAAGTCTGATCGGACACCCTGCCAAGTGTCACTCCTGTCGTATTTTGTGTTCTAACAAAAAATTCTTTAACTCAGGACACGAAATACATACCTACTGTCATAGGAAATATGTATAATTTTGGAGTTAAGCGTTAAAAACAAAAGAAGTTAGAATCTTTGCATTTAAATAAGGATTGTATGTAAATGGGTGGTAACATTGAAATGATTTTGAAGGAAAAAATATTTTTTTATTATCTGTTTTACTTTTTCTATATCTATTTTACTACTATTTTTAATGATCGTGCTTGAATTATAATGCAATCATAAAACTTTTTTGTTGTATGAAAAACATTAAAATTAGAATTCTGGAAACTTTTGATTATTTCCTTGTTAAAACCATTAATAGTACAATATACAATAAATACAAAGCGAAAAGCTAGGTAAATCTATCAAGCTCAAAGGTTGGAAACTTTTATATTTTTTCCAAGTAGAGTATTTTTTTTTGTATATCTCCAAAGGCCATTTTTAGCGCCTGGGGCTCTGGGTGACTTTGGGCAATTAAAAAAGTGGGTTCCCCGATCCACTGGCCCCCTTGGGCTTAGGTTACGCCTCCTTCCCATCGGCGACAACATAAAATTGTCAATGCTGCAAAAAAGTAAGATGAAAAAAAATAGTATAACAACTCGGGCAACGCCCCACGGTTTTAGGCCTGAGTTGAGCGAGAAAATCGAAATTAATTCACGCAACGGCTAATTTGGGCAGAAATATGCGCCAGTTGGTCTGTCGGTCCAATCGAGAGGTGTTTTCTTGTTGTCCAAGTGTTGCACTTGTTGATTTATCGTCGGCATTTAATTGCTTTTGAAATTGGATTTACTAGCCTCCTGCAAAAAAGGGGGTTGTTCGCCTTGTGTGGCTTGCTTTTTGCCGATTTTCGCGATTTTAGTGCTCCAGCTTGCACAAATTAATTGCTACTACAAATTTTCATTCAATTAGGTTTTGTCACTTTTAAATTTAATTAAACATTTTTTGACACCTCCAGGAAAAATACGAGAGATTGAGTTTAGCATAGAAACTAAGACAGACAGCTAAAAAGCAAAACTTGCCACCGAGCAGAAGTTTTTTCAGAAATGCTGTTAACATTGAAATGTCATAATTCAAATTGAATTGTTGTCTTTACCGTTAGACACAGTGACGTTCCAAAAGGGAGGAAAAGTCCAGGGGTTGGGAAAAAAGGGGGGTAGACCCACAATTGTGGTGCTGACAAGTTGTAAACCATTTGGTTATCATTTGCGCTAATTATGAGATGCAGTTCTCGACACTCAACTCGGTTCTCGGTTAAGTACAGTAGAGCTACACGTATAAGGAAAGTTATTAGAAAATTGAATTAAAAGTTTTGTAAAACAGGTTAAACTTATCGTTATATCAACAGTTATTCTGCAAAATAGTTTGTAAATTTACTTTAAAGAAGGTTTTGTAAATGAACCCAACACATTACTCAAAAAGTTATAAAATATTGTTATCATAAGGTCACTAAATAAGATGTTTGTGTCCGATTACCGTTAATAACGTTTTCCAAAGAATTGATAAGGAAAGGCGAAAAATACTCATGAAATTATTATCTTTGTTCTGAATTTTCCTTTTAATTCAATTTTTATTGACAAGAATAGCCGTTACTTAAATAGTTGGTCAGTACTAATTCCTTTGAATTGGAAAATAATGTTTTCTTTGCTAACCTGGAGATATTTTGTAGATTTCAAAGAACTGCCCGACCCAAAAAATTCCCCCTTACAATAGAATCATTCTTCAAATGACGTCAACAGCGATTGGCGATCAACAATAACCATATTTAATAGATAAAAATAATTTTCCAACGAAAACGAGATTCGATTAATCAGCTAACCAACTAACTGAAGCAATAATAGCCATAATTCTCAATGTGAAAATGTTGCAGGCGATTTGCATGCAATTGGCCGCCAACATCGAAAGTGGGAGGAGTCCGTTCATGACAGGAACCTCCCAACGACTTCATTCACAAGCCAAAAACATGATGCATTGAAAGGCCCCATAGATATATTCCCTCCTTCTCCGATTTCTGCTGGGCACTTGGCCAAGCGGGTAACGACACTGTGAGAAAAGGAGTGAAATAAATTGATTTTTATCATAAATGTCTATGAAATATAAGAGTTTGGACGTCTATTTATGATATATACATATAAAAATTGATTGTTAAAAGCTGTTAAATCCAAAAATATACACTTAAATGGGAATAATTGTATACTATTGGCTTACTTGGTTTTTCTCCCTGTGCATTCAAATTTAGCATGCGTTGTTGTGGGCGTTGCAGAGGCAATCTAAGCTCGATGATGAATGTATGCGATTCTATTTGTATTTATTATTTATATATGCTTTTTACTTACTCTGTCCAAAAGACTATCCGCCCGCTGATAGTTATACCGGTTATCGGGTGACTCCACCCCAAATCAACGGCAGCAGCAGCAGCAGCAACAACAACAGCCACCACATCACCAACAACAATAACAACAACAACATCTGCAGCACTAGCAGCAGCAGCATCAGCAATAACAACAACAACAACCACAGCCACAGTTTGACCACAGCAATCAACAGCAGCAGAATGGACACCGACGATGTGGAATCAAACACCAGCAGTGCCATGTCCACACTGGGCTCACTATTCTCCTTCACATCGCCGGCGGTTAAGAAGCTGCTGGGCTGGAAGCAGGGCGACGAGGAGGAGAAATGGGCGGAGAAGGCCGTCGATAGTCTGGTGAAGAAGCTAAAGAAGCGCAAGGGCGCCATCGAGGAGCTGGAGCGGGCGCTCTCCTGTCCCGGCCAGCCCTCGAAGTGTGTCACCATTCCACGCTCACTGGACGGACGATTACAGGTGGGTTATTTGTATAACATACACTAGATAACCAACTAATTTGATCCTTGATTTCAGGTCTCCCATCGCAAGGGTCTGCCGCATGTGATCTACTGCCGCGTGTGGCGCTGGCCCGATCTGCAGTCGCACCACGAACTGAAGCCTCTCGAGCTGTGCCAGTACCCGTTTAGCGCCAAGCAGAAGGAGGTCTGCATCAATCCGTACCACTACAAGCGCGTAGAGAGTCCAGTTCTCCCGCCAGTTCTCGTTCCTCGCCACTCGGAGTACGCACCAGGACACTCGATGCTGCAGTTCAACCACGTGGCCGAGCCCAGTATGCCGCACAACGTGAGCTACTCGAACAGTGGATTCAACTCGCACAGCCTGAGCACTAGCAACACATCGGTGGGCAGTCCGAGTTCCGTCAACTCCAATCCCAATTCGCCGTATGACAGTTTGGCGGGAACACCGCCGCCCGCCTACAGTCCCTCGGAGGACGGCAATTCCAACAATCCCAATGACGGTGGCCAGCTGCTGGATGCCCCGATGGGTGATGTGGCACAGGTCAGCTATGCGGAGCCCGCCTTCTGGGCCTCGATTGCCTACTATGAGCTGAACTGTCGGGTGGGCGAGGTGTTCCACTGCAACAATAACTCGGTGATCGTCGATGGTTTCACGAATCCGTCCAATAACTCGGACCGCTGCTGCCTTGGCCAGCTGAGCAATGTGAACAGGAACAGCACCATCGAGAACACACGCCGACATATAGGTGCGTTTTCTTGCTTACTAGCTTAAGACTTTTGGGAATGTCAGTTTCTTTTTTGATTATAATTGCCTCATTGTGAGCTAATATAAGTCATTCATGGGAATTTCCGATAAGCAGCTGACTTCAAGTGAGCCATAACTCTTTTGGATTGTAATTTAAATGGTCTAAAATTGGAATACGAAGTCTTCTTATCTGTTATAAAAATAGATTTGGTAGTTAGACAGGAGTAGGTCGTTATAATTGGAATAAGTTTTAAAAGCAATCGCTAATTGTTGTCTTTTTCCTCCCGCAGGCAAGGGCGTTCATCTGTACTATGTGACCGGCGAGGTGTACGCCGAGTGCCTGTCCGACTCCGCCATTTTTGTGCAGTCGCGCAATTGCAACTACCACCATGGATTCCATCCGAGCACCGTGTGCAAGATACCGCCGGGCTGCTCGCTGAAGATCTTTAACAATCAAGAATTTGCTCAGCTGCTGTCGCAGTCGGTGAACAATGGATTCGAGGCCGTCTATGAGCTCACGAAGATGTGCACGATCCGGATGTCGTTCGTGAAGGGCTGGGGGGCGGAATACCATCGCCAGGATGTGACATCGACGCCCTGTTGGATCGAAATCCATCTGCATGGGCCGCTCCAGTGGCTTGACAAGGTGCTCACGCAAATGGGCTCGCCACATAATGCAATTAGTTCGGTATCCTAAGCGTAAGATGAGGGGATCCCTCAAGGGAAACGAAGAGAAAAACAATACAAAACCAGTAGCTAAATGAGTACGTGCGAGTGAAAGCTAAGTGTGAAAAAGACGTAGAGAACACAGGACAACGGAGAGAGTATAGAGGTTTGTGCCCGATGAGGGGTGCAAACTGATCAGTGTCTATACAGCTCATCTGCAAATTTAAATAGATGTACGCAAACTACTCCAACACCCGCCCTTTGCCCATATTTTATAGTTTATCGTATGATTTTCTATGCGAATGTCATTCCTAACGCTACATCCAAGTAATAAAAACAACGGCGAGCTAAAAACCCAATTACAAAGTGGTATAACTATTTACAATGATCTACATGCTATAATATTAATGATCTATGCCCATTGGCAACCAGTTGTTGTTCAAGTCTATTTCAAGTGCTAATTATGTGTCATTGCAAAACTGCTTTAAATATAAAACAAAACACATTTAAGTATCCCTCAAACTTTAAATACATAAGCAAGAAAAATTTAAATAGGGATATGAAAGAACTTATTGCAATACATTTCTTAAAATGATTTTTAGAACTCCTTATTTACGTTTTATATTTCTCATTTGCGGTTTGCCTTTGATCAACGAATTAAATGTTCAATTAAGTTGATTTAAATCTATGGTTTAACTAATTTTAAGTTATAAAAAAATCGAAAACTACAAACAAAAAAATAAATACCAGCGAAATTTAAGAGTGGAAAAATTGTTTTTGAATTAATCAATTTTCCAACCAATGATCTTTTTTTATCTTAAGTAAAAATAATTTTGTTTAGACCAGGAAAAAATTAAATTTTTATATGAATAGATTACACTATAATTTTCCTAGTTTTATGATTGTCTTCGATTTTGTTTCAAATAAAACCATGTGTGCCGAAATATCAGTAGATAAAAATAAAAAATTCCCCAAAAGAAATGCTTAATTTTGAAAAAATTCTGTTTTCGACCTATGAGTTATTTTATTATGTTTATCGGATATGTGCAAAACCTTTGCAAGTTTAAATAAAATATATAATATATCCTCCAGAAATATGAAAATGTAAATTTAGCTGTATATTAGAGGCTTGGGCAAGTCATGGCCTTATCTAAAATTGAATGTAGTATTTGTGCCTGTTCTATATTTTACGGAGGCCTTTGAACTCAAGAGCAAGAGTTTTTGAAAAAACATTGTGAAAATACCCAAGTGAAGATACAAAATACCGAGCGAAGAAAAATAAATATTTGCCTTAAAGTTTACAAGTTTTTGATCAGCTACCACAGAATGCTATAAATTGCCTTAAACACGCCTTGCATGCCTCTTAATGTTTAACGTAACATTGTAATAAAAAGTATGAATTAAAAATAAATAGATACGAAACTTTTTCAGCGGATTTCCATTTTCTTCTTCAGTCAAATGGGAATTTGTATTTTTGAACATTTTTAAATGCCTAACAAACAAAACGATTGTCTAAGCTACTGTCTCCATGCCATTGCCTTCGATGGCGATAAACTCCTTTTCGTCCTTTTCGAATTAAAGCATTGTGCATTCTCAGTTGCAGAACGATATTTATTTACGATAATTATTTAACATTTTTAGAGTGGTTTTTTTCTAGAGCCGATGGATGGGGCAACTGAACTTTAAGAGACAAGCTTCCTTTATTTAGTGGGCCACAGAGCTTTTCTATAAAGTAGTGGTCACGCCTTTAGTTCATTTGAACATTCAAATATTTAATTTATGGTACAGTATCTTTAAGATGTTCGTGCTTGATCATGTGAATAGATCTCGCATGGCGGTAACATCAGCTATTTGTGCTTAAATTTTGACAAAGAAGGATTTAGATATAATCTTTTGAAATGGTTAAATATCCTTAGTTTAAAATTTTTTTTTGGTCTGATTGACCTATGATGTTATTCAGCCTCTTCTAATAAGAAATTTCACTGAAACAACTAACTAGTGCAAATGTTTTATTTCTTTCAATCTTTTATTTCTAAACATTTTTATCTCTCTTACATATATATCTAAAAGTAAAGCTACAGTCATTATCCCACATTCTACCATCTCTTCTACCATTTATTGTAAGGCAGTGCGTATCGCTCATGTTGTCCGTTTCACCAGTAAACCACCTGATGAATGGAGCTTTCTTCCCGGTAGTAGCAGATATGTACTCCTTGCCTCGTTTTGTAATGTCTGTCCAGTAATGATGCTCCCCTAATCTGTTTCTAATGGCGTTATACTCCTTTTCGTCTTTGATATCCGTTAGATGAGCACTCATCTTGCGACAGGCGTCAGTTGCATCGGTCCAATTTAGCTCGATGGAGTGATCGAAGTAATATAGATCGGATCCAAGCTTCTCGAATCCCTGCAGTTCCTTTTGCGAAGTAACTTCATCCTTTAAGGTCTGGTAGTAATCCATAATCGGCTCAATCGTCGAGAAGCAATATGCATTACAGCGGGTCTCTAGGTCTTTACTCTGGTTGCTAGAACTCTCATTTTTCGGGGTACCTGCCAGAGATCCACAAGGATACCCTGCTATTAGTGCAAACAACGCAATTGATGTCAGTTTAAACATATTCAAATGTTTTTCTTTCCAAACTGTAGCAGCGAAATAGATCCGATTGGTGGAAAACTAAAATATTGCCGCGACATTATAAAAAAGGATTTTTTTTTGCTAGTCCAATCATTGGGTATATTTATTTTTAAGCTGCTCCCATCCTTCGTCAGGCACTTACAGCATCAGTCCAATTTGATTTGCAATTCTTTACTTAATAAAGAAACTTTGAGTTTTGGAAACCCTGGATTGGCTTGGTTGGTGAGTAAATATCAAACATTTTGAACACAAATTAAATGTATTTCTTAATCCGCGCATGCAAAGTCGTACATAATAACATAAAAGTAGATAAGCTTATTCACTGGCAATAAGGTAAGTTTTAATGTTTTCTCTGTGTTTATGTTTATTTATTTTGACTTATGAAACACGATTTCTTAAGAATTTGCAATAAGTAAACCAGAAACTGGTGGAAAGCCAAGGTTCTCTTGTAGTTAAATTTCTTAGTTTCCGGTTTCGTTAAATATTTAGTATGTTTTCTTGGCATTTTCAATACAAATCGATTAGGATTTTTAATAAGTTCCAAAAATATTATTATAATATAAAAATAATTATAGTTCTGAGTTCCCTCTTTTAGTTTATTACCCTAACCGACTATGTTTAAGTAAAATATTCCCTATTTAATAACGTTATTTCTTAATTTTAAATGTCGAATGTTATCGATAGCTGGCAGTACCATGACGAAAACGGCACTTTTGGCACTTACGTGACAGCGGCACAAAAATATATATCGATATAAATATTTATACGATTACAAGTATTTTAAATCTTTCACAACCCTATTTCCCACCCACCTCTATTGTTTTTTCAATCAACATGAGCGCTGTGAACGATCCCCTGGAACTATTGTCGAATAAGGGCAACCGGCAGGCCTCCTTTTTGAACCCGATATGGAATCCGCTGGCTTGCGGATTGGCTGGAGTGGGCGTGGCCATTTTTGTCAACTGGGGATTCCGTAGACCCGTGCTTTCCGGTAAGTTTTCGCCTCGTTTCCATGTGACGTAACATTGTTTTTGTCGGATATAACTAATGAAACGCCGATGTTTTGCAGGCATCCAGAAACATATTGCCTTTGGAGCCCTGGGCGTCGGCGCTGGATACTATTTCGACCAGAAGAGGAACGACTATCTGGCCAAAAGAGATGCCGTCCTCCGGCACTATATTGAACTGCATCCCGACGATTTCCCCGTGAAGGGTAAGTCTATACAGGGGGGTTCTATATTCCCAAAACTCTTTACTAAACCCTTCTTCTGTTTGTAGAACGCAAGACCTACGGTCAAGTCCTGGAGAGTTGGGTGCCAGTTCGTTAAATGGATCGAAATCTTTGTTGTAAAGCGAACGATGGAAGTAGTTAATAAAGAAGCTTTAATTGTAAAACATACGATTGTGAAAATGGAGCAAATGGATTACTTACTCAAAGTTTTTCTATGGAATGTGTTGGAGTATTTAATTTTCCTAATTGAAAACTGTGGAGTTCAATCCAAATATTGATTCGAGTTTCTATCGGAGCGGTTCTTAACTTGGTTGCACTATACTTATTAGGGTGTTCCGCGTATGTTTAAATGTGTTTAATGTATTTAAAAGTAATAAGTATACCAGCAAACATATAAGTAATTCTAATTTGTAAATCTCCAATACACCTATTTTTTAAAACTAAATATAAATATCCTTATGCCTTTGTCTTATATGTGTACCTAATAGGTACACCTATGTAGAAACGAATCAGAATGGGGGTTGTGTCTTAGCTAGACCAATAGCGAATCTACAAACCATGAAGTTGATTTTGCAATTCCGGGATTTTATATAAATAGTAAATACTTTACTTTACTTTTTTTAAAAAAAAATATTTTACTTGTAGATGTACATTTCGATATATCGATTACCGTCTGTTTTAGGTACACCTCTAGTAAGAGCTTCATGAAAATCGAGTAAATACTCTTTGGTCGCGGTGAAAAACGGATCGAACTTTTTGTAGGATGTGTCTGCGCAAAAAGTTTATCCGCGAATAGTTTATCTTTAAAAAACAGCAGTCAGAAAGCTGAAAAAACGCGCTAAAAATCAATTAAAAAAACCAAACCAGTGAAGCTAAAAAAATATATTGCAAATATTCAAAAACCAAATAAAAAATATTTTAAGTTCAGTTCGTGTGCTTGTGCCTGTGTGCGTCTTCGTTTTACCGTTACAATTTACGAAAACCGAAATAAAGTGTCATTAGTGACAAAATAAATGCCAATACTAATAGTCAAACAAAGCAAAACCAATTATTGCTAATTATTAAAAAAAAAACATAAAAAGTTTTTTCGCCTTTACTTTTTGTGACCGAGAAAAAGGTTAGAACACCAAAAGTAATACAAAAGCCGTCGGCATAATTCACCTGGGAATTTTCTTATCAGCAAACAACGATTATGGCAAAGGTAAGAAAGCTGGGCTCTTAATTTTATTACGAAATTATTTATTTATGAACAGATGGTGGTGCTCTGAACTCCTTTTCGCCTTCTATGTGTGTACTTTCCCACAGAAAATGTTTGTCAATTTGGTTTTTATTTTATTGCCTGTGGGTGGGTGGCTTTTGGGCTAGTCCTTTTGGGTGGATATTCCCCTCGTTTGTATAAATTATGCATGTCCTGTGGATTCGCATTGATTTCCTTGAATTGCGAATGGAATCGATTCTCCACGATATTTTATGATGTGTAAAATTGAACGGAATTCGTACGTAGCAAAACCAAGTTTTGTAGAGCCATAAAAACAGTTATGGCAAAAAGGTACACTCAAGTCGAGTACAAGGGGAGTAAGAGGAATGGAGGAGATTTGGAGGCCTGTCGTAAAGGAAACACAAAATCGTTAAGGTTAGAAAAACAAAGAAAAAGGGAGGGGTACTATGGAAGTAATTGGATGAATTTGCTGTTTCTTTCTGGTGTCAAATTTGGACCAATTCTTCTGGTTTATTTGGTATTTAACTTAAAGTTTCTAATTCTAATAGTTCTTCCACATAATTTGGTATTTGACTTTAAGTTCTTATTTCTAATATATGTAAATCTTAAGTGTTTTCCGTTAACTTTTATATTTTAATTAGGTTGGAGCCTTTGTAAAGTTACATACTATGTACTACTTAGGTAAGATCTAAATAAAAAGTCGAGTAACAAATTACCCTTAGTGATATACTTATTAATTTGGTATTTAATTTAAAGTTTTTAATTCTAATATATTTAAATCTTAAGTGTTTTCCGTTAACTTTTATATATTAATTAGGTTAAAGACTTTTGTTTAGTTACATACTATGTAGTACTTAGGTAAAAGCTAACAAAAAGTAGAATAAAAATTCACCTTAGTGATATATAAGACATTTTAATTCCGTTTTAAAAATTACTGGCTATTTAAATTAAAGATTACCCCATAAACGACATCTTAATTGGTGTACTTACAGTTTTCCAACTTAGGAAATCATTTTTTCTTCAAACGTTTTAACATCCCGTGCATCAGGCTAATGGGTGAATTTCTCAAGTACTTTCCTCTCAACCCCAAGAAGTTGCGCTTATGGGCCAATCTGCACGCTATTACGATGTAGGGCCGTAAAAAGCCAAGGAGTCTTCAATCTCAATCCCAATCAAGGGATTAAAGCTCCGGAGTGAAGCCATTTCTCACTGGCCACGGAAAAAAGTCCAGCGAAAAAATGAGCCACATTTTTCTTGAGGTTTTTGGCTCGCGGCACTACGTCGATATGTGCAGCTCGAGCAAATTTGGTAATACATTTTTTATGACCCACCCACGTGTGGGATTCAAGAGTGGGTTGGTGGTTTAATGGGTGGTTGGAGATACCCAACCACAGTCGCGTGTCTGCTTGAAGAACTTTCGCTCGTGACAGGTTTGTTTTGCTCTTGATAAATTACAGTGCCACTTGTCGCTCAACATGAAATTACTTTCGTCTATCTTAAAGTTTTTCTCATTTCCCCAGCCGTTTTCCCTTCATTTTCCACCCTTCTGGCTGGGGCTATGAAATTTTGATTTGCACGCCAAATGCGGCCAAATGTCCTCAAGTCAAGTTCAGACTTTACAACCGAGATTCTTGAGGCACTGGGGTTCCTAGAGATACAACTATTATTATGTGCTCAGGAAGAGAGAGACTACCTAACCAGCATTCAGTAGCTTGTCCTTGAGTGGCCTTTGAAAACGGTTAAATAAGTTCTCAAGATAACATCTTTGGATGAACAATTGGTTACCCTATAATTGTTAACTAATATGTCTTATAAAAATGTTTTTTCAAATGTTTATGCTGGCAGAAAAGCAAAAAGATTATAATCGTTATTATTTTTCCTATCAAAATTGTACTAAACAACCCAATTTCCCAACGACAACGCCCTACTTAAAAGTCTACAGGGTATGACCAAAATATATGTAGTATATTTGTATCCCTCAATGACTCTGCCCTTTTTTTGTTGCCTTCGCCTTTTTTCGCGACAGGCTCATAATCATCAGAGTTTTGCCCGCCCACTTTTCTCCCACTTTCCATCCATTTTGTCGTCTTGGCATGGCCCCTATATCATTATGTGCAGCCTGTAGTATTATTATATTCCTTTCATACAATTGTCGACAGGGGGGCGCCTCCTATATACATTTTTTTTCGTGTCAACAGCAGCAGGCGCAACCGCAGGAGCTGCCTGCAAGTGCAAGGATAACAGGACGAAACTAACAATAAGTTGAAGCCATTTTTCTTGTATACATACATAGATGTAGTGCCCCCCACTAATGCGGAAAAGATCTAGAAAAACAGCATGAAAATGCTGGAAATTGATGGAGGACTAGGGAAGTACAGAGTGATAATTTAGAGAACGGCATAAAAGTTGTATGTATACAATATATAATTTTACTCATTTCTTATAAATATATTTATTTCTTTAAGTGATTATTTTAAGATCATTTTAAAGTTCTCTGATTAAATATACAATATACTTACAACCCAATGATTAGTCATAAAATCTACAAAATAACTAAACACCTCTTGACTTTTATTTATTTCTTACAATTTGGTTAGGAAACTTTAACTAATTTTAAAGAAAGATCTTTAAAAATGGCAATGCAAACTTTTTGTTCATTTCATTTTACAAATAATACACCGTGGGATTAGAGTTTTTCTTTCACTACGGGAGTCATCATTTTGCCATCGAATCTGTTGCAATATGGAGAGCTTAGCCGCCCTTCTACATTTTCCCAGACCCCCATATGATTCCCCACTACCATTTCCACTATACGTTTGCCATTTATGATTTATGCTGGCTCCGGTGGCATTTCTGTATTGACTTAACGCGAAATGCGTTGCATGCCACCAAAAAGGGCTTCTAGCCTCCAATTCGCTTCGCAATTTTCCATTTATTTATGGCTGCATTTGCTGCATGAAAATGTATTGATAACGCTTTTCCTTTCCGGCCGCATATTGAAACGCATCTGTATGAATTCGCTTTGGTATATATGCGTAATAAACAATCAGGTAATCCCCAGGTCGATATAATCTATGCTAATTCGCAACCTCATCGTTTTCGGTTTTGTTTGCTCTGCTGGATGATTGGAAAATTGTTAATTAATAAAGTTTGCAGTTTGGGTATATGCTCATTATTTATTGCAAACAGCATACTATATACTATAATATTTTATCTCTAATTAGTTTTTGCTGAAAAACGTAATTACTTAATTTGTTAATTTTTAATATGCGGTACATATGTTGATAAATATATGAATTATAAGAAAATGTGGATAATGAAAAGTTTAATTTGCATTCCTAATGGAAAAAGTTAGCCATTTAGAGATAAAATATCTCTAACCATCTGCAGCTTAATTAAGTTTATTTTCTCTGCTTGTGGCATGTAATAAATTCTGAATAGAAAATGAGTAAATTAACTGCACTGAAATGTGTCTTATCCTTCGCCTGGAAGCTCTCCAGCGTCATTATCCTTGCATATTTTTGTGGGCGTCGCATACATCGTGGTTTTTTCCTCCATTTCCCCCGGTCGGTTTTTTCGTCCACCATTTGGAATTCCGGAGCAAACACGTGGGTCGCCAATGTGGCAGGGAAAACGCGGCAAAATGTTGTAAGATTCCTAAGCTAATTTCATTAAATATTCATGGCCACGACACGACAATGCACACAAAGTGCACACAAAAATACATATACATATAGACAGGAGACACAAAAATGTATACAGGCAATGACGTCGTTGCAGTTTTTCTTACTGCGGATGCTACAGATACACTCAAAAAATTTGAATACGTTTAGAAAATAGTCTAGATAAAAAAAAATATTATACTTATATAAAACCAGTTATAGCACTTCCAATATTAGGTATAAAATCGAAAATTCCACACACAAATCGCTTTTAAATGTCAGCTTAAGTGCCTAAGAGTATGCCACAATATTTATATTATACATCTTTATTCACTGCATACTTTTAGACACTTTAAAAGTGATTTCAAAACCCTAGAGATTTCTGTAACACCCCCAAAATGTATTTAAAATGTTTTTAATACAAGAATAATAATTCTCGGTTAAATGAAGTATTTTTTTTAAAGTGCAACCACTGCCAAAATGTCAAACGGGCTTAAATTTTAACGTGCCTGGCTAAGTTTTTCGGGCGAAAACGCCGCACATGTGTGGCTTAGTCGATAAAACGAGAGTGACGGGTTTTCGGAAAGGGGATGCAGAGATATATCCACATATATCCTTCATCCACCCATTGTTGTGCCAAAATTAATAGTGTTTGCGTTTGGGGCTCAGTAGCAGCAGCTGCCCCTGACAAATTTTCATTTAATCACTCCGCCCCGGGGTTCAAGGTGATTTGATTGCATTTTGATATATGAGTCGCTACAGAAATAAATAAAAGATGAAGAAAAAAATGTTCTGACGTTTGATAAATGTTCTAGCTTCTTTTAGGATGCCAGCCAATTGTCTAATGCGGTATTCTACGCTCTGAACAATTTCTTTTTCCACCACTACAACTAATTTAATTAAGTTGCACAAAAAGCAGAAACTCGTGGGGTTGAAGTGGCTGGACTGCAACCGGGTGCATAAATAAAAAAGGGGGCGCAGATAAAAACCCTTGGAACAACATTGGGGCTGACCCCAGACAGCGAGTCGTGTCCTTTGCAACCCGGAGACCATTAAATGGCCTGACAAATGGTATATTAGCATTGGGCAAATTTAGCCAGAATGAATAGGTTCACTAAGCCTCGGGGATACCCTGAATGGGGTTGCCAAAGCTGCAGGGATTTTGGATGAAAGTTGATTTTCTAAGGACATTTTTTTAGCAGGAATTTAAAAAAACTTAAAATTACTTTTTGCATAATCATTGGTTTATTAAAAAGAATTGTTTTTGTGTCTAAAAGTATACAACAATATATATTAAATCTGAAATATAGATAGATTCGT